AAATTTAAAAACAAGCCTTAAGTTCTATAATTAAAGACCTTTTTAAATTGTCACCTAGTCGCTGGTCTCTACCCGGAACGTTTCACTGGCTGCTATAGTTTGTAAAAAGACTTTTCTATATTTTAAAAGTTAAAAAAAAGACTAGTTTTATATTGCAAGACCTTTAAAAAATAAAATAATTCTGTTTACAAAAATTGTATAATATTTTGACCCAAAAGTTCTACCCGGAACGTTTCACTGGCTGCTAAACTTCATAAAGGATATTCAAATAAATATTTGTCTAAACGTCAACTATTTCCATAAGCCCATTGTAAGCGTAAGCATCCCTTTTGTTTACATTACTCTATGTCTTTTATTAACCGCTGCCCGCTCTCAATTATCATTTAATGCGCCTCTCTTTGCGCTTCTCATGCCCATTGTATTCCAGTGCCAAGTCATCAGCTACTGTTTGCCCTGGCTAAGCCGTGTGAGATCATTTCATTTGTGTGTTAACCTAATGCATTTGAAGCTCTCTAATCGTAATTTCATGAATGAACGAAAAATGCCACGTCTAGAGGGACTAATGATGCATGGAAAATACCAATTCCAGTTGCGCTGACCACAAAATACTCATTAAAGCAACAAACGATTATTGTTAAAAAAAAAAACCTTTGAATAATTAGAGTAGATCGGCAGCCAAATCCACATCTATATATAGTTATAATAATAGAGTTGTCTTATGGTATTTCGTTGATTTATGAGCTAGCTAGAACAAAGCTGAAAAATGCGGTCTGGAGCTGGTAAATCGCATATGAAACCAGGAAGTCACGACGACAAACGGCGACACGCGACAACAACAAATTTTTGGCATAATAAGGAAAATATTAGTTAACATTTAACCCGACACGAAGGGGAGGCGTGTCGTGTGCCCGACACGCGCATCTTAAAGATGCAAAAAAAAGGGTTACGCAAAGGGTTGCGAGGGTTGACAGGATATTTGCCGGGCAGCTGCGGGGAAAGTGTGCTACGGCTTATGAAATGGAAATGCGTGCCAGAAGCGAGCGCCGGGGGGAAAGTGATTTTGTTTTCCTTCAAAAAAAAAACATATATATACACATAGAAAAAACGAAAAGTGGGGCGTGGCTGTGCTGACTTTTAATTACGCCTGCCGAATGCCTGTCAAGGCAGCTCAATGCCTCTGCCAGTCAAGGTGAGCTCCTGTCAGCAGAAAAAAAAACACACACACATTTCAATTGCTGAAATAAAGATCGAAAGGTGAAAGTTGTGCATTGTGCCAAAACGTATTTGACAGGCTATACATGCGCATACACTCAGCGAAATTTATTACTAATAACAGCCAAGCAGGACATTTTTACTAGGGGAACTACTTGACATGATAGTTAAGCGAAGAAATATTTGTTCTTCAATTGAGTTAAGTTGACTGAAACAAATACGCTTTAAATAAGTACTTTAATATGTTACCTAATCTAAGAAACATTTTAACTAGATGAAAATCCAAGCAACGTTTTAATTAAATGCAAATTCATATGATCAATATTTTTTTACTTAATCAAAGACTTTCTTTCTTTCTTTTTTTATATTATGCATGTTTTTGTCTTAATGCCAGCCTTTTCTGCAGAATAAATGTAAATTCTTTTAAAATAAAATCATGTTCTGCCTTTCTTTAAATAAAATAAAAACACCTTTAAAGGTATTTTTTCTTAATCAAAGAAATTTTAAAAGCAATGACAATAATTTTGTATTAATAGAAGCTTTTTTTCTTTAATTAAATACTAAGAAAATTAATTTAATATTATATTTTCTTAAAGTCTCCCAACAAGCATTATAAGAAGAATTCGAGAATTTATTTCTCAAATTTTCCAGAATTTACTTCAACAAGTAGCTTATGCTAAGTCCAAGCATTTTTGTACTTAATTTAAGAATATTGAATTCGAAATTGCACGTCAATTTTAAAGTGCAAAATGATGGAAATTAAATACCTATCTAACTAAACATATGGATAGAAGACAAAATTGGGTACTCAAGGAAAATAAAGGGATATTATAAACTACGTCTTTTCGCTGAGTGTATTATAAAAAACAGTTGCCAATTGCAATTGCAGCACATCCTGCGTGGCAGCTGCGGCCACGCGGCCACAGTTAAAAAACTGAAAATTAAATCCTTTTTTCAGGCTCAATTTGTTGCAGCTCCTGGCTGCAGCTCCTGGCCGGGGCCTGGCCCGGTCCTGGCCTGGTCCTGGCCTGCAGCTTAAGGCAAGCTGCGCCAACTAAATCGAGCGCTCCAACAAAGGACGACCCCCGCTTATTCCAGGTTTTTTGGCGGTTTATATCCTTCCATTTTCCTTTCTTTATTATTTTTTTTTTTGGCATTGTTACATTGCGATTACTTTACCTGCAACACGGCGATTAACACGCAACCGCCGGCACATCCTTTACCGGCATCCAGAGCTACCTGGAGCCAGCCTCAGCCTCAGCCCCTGGTCGTCGAGTTCCTATTTTTAGCTGGCTGCCTTTATTGCTTTCTTATATGCGCTTTGATTTCTATTGCGGCAATATCCTTTATCCTTTGTGCCATTGTTGCATGCACCGGCTGGCAAACACATTAGAGTTGCAACCGAGCCGAAGCAAAAAGAAGAAGAAGGATGTGCGTGCGGGGGAGGGGTGCGAAGCTAAAAGTGACAGCATTGCAGCATCTAAAGATCCTTTAACGATTTTCAATTCAATTCCCCAATATTACAACTATTTTTACAGAATGTCTCCCTTTCTCTCTCTCTCTCTTTCTATATGTCTACCTTCCTCTCTCTATATCTCTCTCTTTTATAGGATCTTAACGGTTTACAGTTTTTCATTTTTTCGCTTTGAAAACACTTTTAAAAATATTTTTAATGAGACCACACACAGCGTAAACTATAATTCTATATGTATTCTTTATATCGAAATTGATTTAAATATATATATATAAATTTATTAAATAATATTTAAACACAGCCAAAAAATACCAAAAATTATCACTCAATCGATATATTTTAAAGCTAAGAAAACTGAAAATTGTGTCAAAATTTAAGTTCATCTTGAACTTGAACTGAAAATGTAATAGAGAGATTTAAAAAAAAAACCCCTTAAGACGCAGTTAAAGATTTGAACTTCAAACCATAACAAATATGGTCTTGCATTTTCACGGTAAACTTAAATATAGAATGTGTGAAAAATCACATTTGTTATCAGGAGTAATAATAAATTTCAGGGCCCCTTTATCCAATACCCCTTTAAAGCGTCAAGTTTCAAACCCTCAACTTCAGAACTTCAGACGAGCCTTTTTCAATATGCAATACAAATATGGTCTCTAATTTTCAAGGGGGTTCGATCCTCAATCTTCTTTGTCAATGTGCCGAGGCTTAGCCTTGGGACAAACTCTTATATAAATAATAAATAAATATAAATTAACATATAATACATCAACTTAAATATGGAACGTAGGAAAGCCCAAGCACATACTATATAGTATATAATCCTCCATTTTTCTTGCCTTAAATAATCATCAAAATATCCTAAATATAAATACTATTCAACACCCCCTATAGCCCCTTAATAGAGATACAATGGGCGTGTCCCGGCACGCTTATCGCCATGCAACGCCCACGCAAATGTTCAGATTTTCCTCTTTCTGTTTTTTTTTTAATTTTTTTCAAATACAAATTTTACAACAGATTGATAATCAATCAAAGTCATAAACGAATCGAAAGGCGATCAAAACTGATTAAGCATTAGGCATGTTCTTTTTTTTTAGAGAGAGAAGAAGAAAATGGCGTGCAACCCCCTGACGACACGTACTGAATTGGGCAGTGCGTTTTTCACTAGTTTCGCGTTGCATTGAGCCTAAAAGGCGTAGCCGGGCCCAATAATGATGAGTAATTGATAGTGACATAAACGCAACTAGCCGAGCAATATGCCATCTGGTTTAGGTAAATCTGGCTAAAGGGTGCTTGGGGGGGGGAGGGGTGCTGCAGGGGGTTGGCCCTGTTTAATAGGGGTAGTTACGCGGCGCCAAGTGCGGATAATGATGATGTGCAACCCTTTACGCCTAGTTAATGCTCGCCTCTTTTTTTGGGTAAAAAATAGCAAATTCTCACTTCATTTTTGTGTCTATAAAAATGCAATCATTTGTCGATGCCCTGTAAGCATTAAGGGGGGAACAAAGGGTGTCATGATTGCGAAAAGATTTATGGAACAGGCGGGAGAGTGTGTCTCCGACAAGCTGAGTCTATTCAGAGGTTCGCCCGTGAGTCTCGGAGTTTATAACAGAGATCTATGCTTTAAATTATAAATATTTATTCTATTCAATCTTGAATAGTATTGTAGTATTTTTACAATATTTCCCAGTATTAGCGTAATATCGTGGTAAGGGGCATGCAATTTAGGGTTCAAACTCTCGAGTAGACAGAATTTTCGATAATATGTGTAGAAGAAGAAGTCTATTAGAGAGCTGTCTTCTTTATATTATAACTACTTATTCTATTCAATAAAAATTTGAATAAATATCCTAGTATTTTGCAATATTTCCCGGTATAACAATATGCATATGAATAAGATGCACAAAATTTAGGGTTCAAACTCCTGAGAAGACAGAATTTTCGATAATATGTTTAAAAGATATTAAAAAACTGTCTATTTAAAATTATAAATATTTATTCTACGAAATAAAAACATGAATATATATTCTAGTATTTTTACAATATTTCCCAGTATTATCCCAATACCCTGGTAAGGGGAAATTTAGGGTTCAAGCTCCAGAAAAAGACAGAATTTTTGTTAATATTTACAGATGAGAGCTTGCAGTTCGGCTTGGCTCTAACAACAGGGTATTGATAATATAGATGAGTGCTTCCAGTTCATTTTGGCGCTTTTAGCAGGGTATTCGCTAGTCGGGCACTCTCGACTGCTGCAACCCTTTCGATGCCACCTTAATATGTGCGTGATATACCCCTTCTCTTTGATTTATAGCCATGCCAAGCTGTCGCACGAAAACAATGCCAAGTCCCTGGTATATGCGGCCCATTGGATATCATAATTATGATAACAACAATAAGGACGCCGAATTGTTGAACTATGTGGCAACCGGCCAGTCAGCGTTGCCACCCTTTGGCCTCGATATCGGACTGGGGCTGGGTGTCGGTCTCGGTCTGGGCCTGGAGCCGCAGACATGTCTGCCATATTTTGGCCTCGAAATGCCGTCCACAGCAGCCGTCACGGCCAAGGCGCACAAACTGCTGCCGGAGTTCTTGATACCGCTGCACGAAATCATGTTTCAACATCATTATCAGCAGCAGCAGCAACAACAGCAGCAGCAGCAACAACGGCAGCCCGTGGCAACGACAGCGGCAACAGGAAGCACAATGGGCACATTAATTAATAGTCTGCCTGGGCTAACGTATGCCAAAACAGAGACATTTGCCAGCGCCAGTTTGTATGCTACAAAGTCGTTAACCCCACAGCAACAGCAGCAGCAACAGCAGCAGCAGCAACAGCAGCAGCAGCCACCTGCCCCATGTGGCATGCCCCAACGACCGCGTCAGAATGGCGAACAGCAGTTCGTGCGTCATTTTCACGAACGGGATCGACTCATACGCGAGCATCAACTGCAGCAGCAGCGACTGCGTGATTTAACCGACGACGACGACAAGGACGAACAGCAGCAACAACAACAACAACAACAGCAGCAACAACAGCAACAACAGCAGCAACAGCAGGTGGAGCTGAAGCCGACGGGCCATAACAATCATTGGCATGGTGTCGTCTATGATGGCAATGGCAATGCCATGACAGCAACTCCCAAGCACAGCAGCAACAACAACAGCCACAACAACAACAACAACAAGAGCAACAACAACAACCCGGCAACAGCTGCAACAGCCTTCGCCTTGACACTGCCCCAACCAGAGGTTGTTGCTGCTGCTGCTTCGCACAAGCAGTTCCGCATTTACGAGCACTCAAATGGTCAACTTTGTTGCGATGGCAACCCTGCCAGCCCCACAGCAGCAGCCGCAGCAGCAAAAGCAGCAACAACATCTACAACAACAACAACAATGAACAAAGGTAAGTTTACGGCTTTCGCTTGCTAATTGATTTCGTCTCGGGTCTCAGATTTAGCTATTTATATTGCATGTACAAATAATATATAATAATATATTATTACGAGCAACTATTAGCCGGCTTTGCTCGGACAAAGCTTTTCTTTTATTTCACATACTCCTCTTTCATGATTAGTTGAATATAATTTGAATAAATCTTTGTAAATCAATTAAATCAATTTAAGGCGTATTTTCGACACAACAGTAAAAAATTCAGCTTCTTAGCTCTTAGAGTTTGGGCTGTGCGTTGATCGTCAGTCAGTCAATCAATCAATCAGTTACAATATATAGGAAGTTTATATTTAACGTCTGTTATATGTATGGACTTAAGATTTCCCGTAAATTCAGTATGAGAACATAATATTTGATTGTTTGAGTAAATCTTCAATCAATCAATCAGTCAGTCAACCAATCATTAAGCCAAAATAACTTGATATACATAAATATGTAGCTTCTATATAGCTTTAAATTAATGTATGAACTAAAGATTCAATTTAATTGCTTGAGCTGATCATCAGTCAATCAGTCAGGCAGTCAATCAATCAGTCAACCAAAACATCTCTATATATAAAACTAGGTAGCTTTTATATAGCTTTATTTGAATGTATAGGCCCAGAATTCCGCCTAACATTAATTTGACTACATCAAATTCGATTGAAGGAGTTGATCATCAGTCACTCAATCAATCAATCAATGACTCAGTCAGCCAAAACAACTTTATACTTCTCAGTACTCAACTAGCATATAGCTTTACACGTTTAGTATGGGCTTTACTTTAGTTTGGGTACATTGAATTTGATTGACTGAGTTGCTCATCAGTCATTCAATCAGTCAGTCATTTTCAAAGAAGCTGTTGTCCTTCGACTGATTTCTCTGCACTTTCCTCAGCCCAGTTGAAAGCATTTTAGAGTCCAGCAAATCAAATTGAAGCAATGCATAACATTTCCATCCAAGAACCTTGAATTTAGCCGACCCCAACTACCCCCAAGAAGCAACCCCCCCCCCCCCCCCCCTGTCCTAAACCTACCCGCACAGCAAAACTTTCAACTCAATTACAAGCGCTTCACTTAATAGAATCCATGTCGAGGCATGTTCAGCTAGCCCCATGCGATACACCTTGCCGGACATTCGCACCACATCAACACACACCCCCGGCAGATGTGCGTGTGTGTGTGTGCTGAGGTGTGTGTGTGTGCGTGTGTGCGTGTAACCCCAAGCAACACACAAACTCCATTTAAAATCACTAAAATATTAATAAATTGCACAAAAGTGCGAACAAAATATGCGTGAAAATTCTCAAGTGCGAGCAACTAAAAAAAAACCTCGAGAACAACTTTATTTAATGGAATTTAAAACCACTTTTCAGTGGGTGGCGCCCATTCGGCAGCGGGTGGCAGCGGGTGGTTGCGGCTGCCTCGGGGCGCACGGCAAAAAAAAAAACGAATTCGAACCACAATTGCATGAGGTAACCTTTGACATGGCACGGCAAATAAAGCGAAACGCACCCTTAGAAAATTCTAAAAAGAAAATCCGGAAAAAAAGAAAAGCTCACGCTGGTGTCAATACCAACTGTGCCCGTGCAGGTCCTGAGCTGCTTATGGCCAATTGAGCGCACCCCCGCCCCCGCCCCCGCCCCGCCCTCCTTGACACCCTGCTGGCAAATCCAATAAAATCGCTTTACAAGCTGTAAAGCAAAGATCATAAATCCCATTTGCCTTACAACAAAAACAAAAAAGTGAGTTACATTTTTAAATGTACTTTTTTATGTATATTTTTAAAGATGGTTTTTGTAATGGCGGCTTTTTTAAGGGTAAGATTTGCATAAAGGGTTGGTAATAAACAAAAATGGCAGGCAGAAAATGATTTGAAATTTTAGAAAAGAATTAAGGCGTATTTTTTTAAGCTTCTCTTTGTTTATCTACTACTATGAAAATTTTTTTAATAAGTACGTAGTACTTTTTATGATTTTAAAATAAATATGACTTTTTATATATTAAATAAAAATATATTAATAATAAATATATAAAATAAATTCAATTAAATGACTGAAATAGTTAAATAAATAAATAAAATTAATATATTGTATATAAAATGCATAAAATAAATAAAATAAAATAGTATTAATAAAATAAACAAATAAAATAAAAAAAAATTAAAACAAATAAATAATAATATAATAAAAAATATTAATTCAATATGGTTTAGCTATAAAATTAAATAACCTAATTGTATAATACTTTTCATATAAAATATTTTTTTTATAATTTCTTTTTAATATGTATTTTTTATACATTTTATTATATGAATGTCAATATATTTTTATATTTTCTCATTCTTGTTTTTTGAATGGCGTCGCCTTCATAAGGGTTAGATTTGCATAAAGGGTTGGTAGCAGAAAATATCAGCCCGAAAAACTTTGAGAAAAATTTGAAATAATCTCAATATAAAAATTTTGAAATATTTTGTGTATTCACAAAGGGTTGCTAACAACAAACAAAAAAAAAAACTAGCTATAACGGTAAGAAAACTTCTCAAAATTGTGAGAAAATTTGGCGAAAATTCCGTTAGATTGGCAAGGGACAAAACCGTAGTTAATCAAGCGGCCTCTTTTTTCTTACCCTCGCACCCTACCGAAAAAATCACAAACAAACAACAAAAAATCACCCAAAAAATAGGCAAGAAAAAAAAATCACCCAAAAAATAAGCAAGAAAAAAGAAATCACCCAAAAAAATTGCATTGTTCAGGTCGAAAAAAAAAAAGTAAACCAAGAAAATTTCAATTTTGCCCATTTTTATGAATTTCTCAATTTTTTACATTAAAAAATTGCGCATTATTGACGCGCATTCGGAGTTTAGGGGTTGCTCAGGGATTGCTACCCTAGAGAGGGAGAGAGCGAGAGAGCGAGAGAGGGAGAGAGAGAGAGAGGGAGTGAGAGGGAGAGGCAGAGAGCGCCCCGCACAAGTGGCTAAGCTGTGCAGGATCTTTGGTAATCCTTGACAATGATCCTCAATTTTTACCCTTGAGTTTCTTTACAAATTTTTTTTCCGTTTTTTTCGGCCTGTTTTCGGCGCGCAATTTTCTTCACAGATTTTACAATAAAATCAAGGAAAATGCAGCGCAGATTTTTGTTTTTTTCTCTTCCCATTTTTGTTTTGGGGCGAAGGGTTGCATTTGACAGCAACATTTTTTGTGGCAAGTCGAATTCAATAAACATTAATAAATAACAGAGGAGAATGGAAGAGAATTCAACACAATTTGGGAATTGGTTTAAGTGGAAAGAGGCAGAGCGAAGACGGCGCTAAAATGCGGAAGTAAAGGGACAATTTTTGTTGTTCTTTATTCTTGAGGTTTGCCTTTGATTTCCTATCGAATGTGCCTGATTTTTATCCAACATTTGGCGCGCTTTTTTTTCAGCAGTTGAGCAAAGACATGTGCGAGAGAATTTGTTAAGCCTTTGGCATTTAGTTCTAGAATGTGAAAACTGACGAGCCGGAAGCCTTTAAAACTTAAAGCAAACCCAAATTAAAGAAATCTTTGCAGACAGTTGCAACCCTTAAAGAGAAGAAGAAGCAGCTGCAAATAGAGACTCGAACTAGTCTCATCTTATTTGCTCAACGCAAATTGGGTTGTCATTTTAATGCAACAACTCGAAGGCAACGCAACCCACTGAATTGTTCGCTTCCCCTGGCTGTGCCTTTTTCATGCAAAGTGCGTCCCTTTTGCGATGCTGCCAAGCGTTTATTTTCTTGATTAATTTCAATGTTTTTGGGGCAAAACTTTGTTGCTGCCCCCTTTTTGTGGCATATTTACATGCGTTCGTCTCCCTGTGTGTGTGTGTCTCCCTCTCTCTCTCTCTTACTCTCCCTCTCTCGCCCTCTCTCGCCCTTTTCTCTGCCCGACTCTGTCGAGAGACTGCGGACTGTCTGTTTTTGGCAAATAATCAAATTGCCCAGACACTGGTCACTGCAGATTGTTTATCTTTTGTTTCAGCCCGTGACAAGTTTAATCAGGCTACGTGCAGAGGACAGGACGCAGCGCTTTCGCAGGACACAGGACACGCAGCCAAAAGGATAACTATTGAAATTAGTTGCCAGCCAGTTGGCTCGGTTGTTCGGTTTTTCCCGCAAAAACGCAAAAAGGGGGCGCTTTATACGCAGATTCTCTATTGATTTTCCGACTCGTTTTTCTCTGCTTTTTCCACTTAAATCATTTTGGCACTTTAATGCTGCCAGGCAGAACGCGAGACAAGGGGAGAGCGGACGAGGCGGTGGGTTCGTCCTGCGGTCAGTCATATCCTGCTCGAGTCCAACATTAATTTTGCAGTTTTAATTAAAACATTTCGAGACACACAAGCAGCCCGGCGCATATTTTCCTAGACTTTTCTAATTTCTTCTTTTGCCTATACCCTGTACGCATGGAAAGTGAACGACAATAACACAGGGTATATTGCAATTGGGTAAAGCTAGTTAGCTGCTAAAGCGTATATATTTCAGATGAGCAGCAAAAGTCGAGTTGTTATGGCCATGTTTTCCCTTTCGTGCGATCTCGAGGAATATAAGGGCTAGCTTCTTCTGACTTAAGTATGTGAAATCTCGTTTATCATGCTCAACTCAAGTATCTTTATTTCTGCGATAACATCTTTCATTTGTCCGAAATTGATAAATATCGATTTATAGTCCCGACATATCGGCGCATATCTCAGACATTACAAAGGTTGTAAGCATCATATTCTATATAAGAGTTCTAGCAACTTTTACTCTTTGTACGCTTTGCCCCTCGCAAGTATAATTGAAATGTTATATATGTTACATCTCACTTATATATAGCCTGATTTTTGGTATATGACACATAAGTACATGTACATATGTCATCTTTAAGATTCTTTAAATGTCATAAAGATCGGACTTTACAGTCCGAACTTATTAAAGGATAAACATTTGACAATGTGAGTTTGAGGGACTCGT